CAATTTGTCCTCTTTCCCCGTCATGTGGTTGCTCAGCATTGTCGCCGGTGGGGTCGTGCTCGCCGCAATTGTCGGAGCCGTTATTGGAGTTTCCAACTTTGACCCTGTTAAGAGATACTGAGAGTAACCAAAGCCTTGCATATTCTCACCCTTTTTCAAAAAAAAAGAAGACTACTGTTATAGTCATATAATAGTGTGTTACCCGTGCAGATAGCACGGATAAAATATTTTATAAAAAATATATATATTACATGATAAAAGTTCAGTCTGTAAACAGTAGATATTTATTTACATATTAAAGTGTGTATATATATATACTTTTCTTTTTTATTTCTTCTGAGCTTCAATAAATAAAAGCAAAAAAAGAACAATTAGTTATTAATTAATTATTATGTATAATAATATATTTCGTTATATTTAATAGAATAATAAGTTTAATATGTAATGCCATATAGCATGGGTGAAGTTTATTAATTCTTTGTAATTTTCCACTTTGACTATATATAATAATATCTCAATTTTTTTCATATTCACCAATATCTCTAATAATTAAAGTTCATATATCTGTTAAGGTTGGAAGATCGTATTGTGTACAATCTTCTTTTCGTCTACCTATTAATCTTAATTTCATTGATTGTGTTTTATTATCATTGTAAAAATTCTTCACACTTCTAAATAGTTTAACTATTTGTTTACGCCCAAACGTGTACAAAATAAGCGGTCAATTGTAGCGTCGATCCCACGAGGAGGTAACAAATTAAACAAGAAACGATTAGCAAATAAAAAGCGTTAGGAGATAAATAATAAAATAAAAATAAAAGATAATGAAATTTTTGTTGAGAAGTTTAAGCGTAAGAAAAATGTATGAGAAAATTATATAATTAAAACCGGTAAGGCGTCAAGATTCTCCTATATTCTTGGTTCACCTGAATGGATTTTGATTTTTGAGATTACTCAATTGAAAGTTTCACATCACAAACTAATAATCGGAAAAAAATATATTTGAAGAACATTTAAATTAAAATGTATTCGAGTGAGTAAAATTCTTACGTTGAAACCTAAGAAAAATTATTCTTACAAGAAATCTTAAAGTGACAATATACCGTTGGCAATATTGTAGTAAAAGACTACTCATAAAATAGTATTATCGATATAATTATATTGAGCAACAATTACATAAAAAGAGCATGACTAAGTTTATATAAAAGTTGACAACAAAATATATCAATATAAGAAATTAGAAAAAGATAGACGAAAATTAATCACTCAAATATATAAACTTTGGAGAACAAATGAAGAATCAAAATCCACTCAAGATCACTTCACATATAGGTTTCTCTCTAACCTCACCTAAGAACTCTAGCCTAATTTGCACATAATTCCCACAAAATTCTAAAGAGAAAATATGAGAATAAGAGGAAGAAAATAAGAGAAAAAGTGTCTAAACTTAAGCTCAAAATCAACAACCCCATACACTTAACAAAGGCCATATTTATAGAGATTTTAGGGCATACTAAAAATCACCATCAGTAAAAGAGAAAAAAAAGGAACGTATTCCAATTAAATTAGAATTTACAATGCTTAATTGGGAGAGTAAAAGCTCATTAACATGGGAAGAAAAACCATCAAAATGTTTGGAACCGAAGGAAATGAAGAGAACAACAGCTAGTACACGTGGCGCAAGCTGAGAGGCGGAAGGAAGAAGTGGCCGACATCTGGGTCCCATAGGGACACGTGGCGCAAGCAAATTCACGGACAGGGAAGTTGCTGCACAGCTGGAGCCCACGCGGTGGAAAAAATTGACGCGCGCGTGGAAGAGACTCACGCAGGGGAACGACGTACGCACCAAGCGCGCGCGTGTGCGGGGACAGCTGGGTCCCACGCGGCTGAGCGTGCCAAAAAATGACACGTGGTGCACGCAGATTCGCCTGGCTCGGCTCGGCCCAGTTTGGCTTGGCGGACTGCTACAAATGAGCTTTGTTTTCTTTTTCTTTTAGTTTTGGCCCAAATGTCTTATTTCCCTACAAAACAAATTAAATTAAATTAAAATCAAATAAATTAAAATCAAATACTTTCACACACAAAATTAATTCCACGAAAATATTTAATTAAAACTTAATTTATTTAACAATTATGAACAATTGAAGTGCATTTTCATGCACTTATCACTAATGTATTTGTTTCATCTAACAACGTTATTAATTTTTTAGTAATAATTTCATATAAATTATTTGAAGTATTGTTCGACGTAAATATTGCTAGTCTATTTTGAATTTCATTATATGTGTCATAAACATGTAGTTGTGTAAATTTTAGAGGATTATTATCAACTCAAAGTAAAGATTCCATTAAATGACATATTTGACCACTAATTTTTAATATGTAAGGTTCCGATCTTTTATTAATATCGGTCTCAATATTTACTCTAAATGAGGTAAAGGTAAACATAGAATTAAAAATCCTAATATTTTTTTTTAAAATGTGTGCTTAAAGTTCCACCAAAATAGTTTAATAATTCATCTAAAATTAATGGTGTTTTTCTTTTATATGGTAAAATAATTTTTCCATTCTGACAACATGAAGAATATTTTTGTGGATATTTTTCTGTCATTCATTATTCCAAAATAATGCTTGACAATGTTAACATGTAAATTTACAATCTCCAAGATCAATGTACCCATTTGTCTCATATAAATCTGAATTAATATTAAAAAAATTATTAGTAATGAATAAATATGGCAGTAGTTATAAAAAAAATATAGAGTTTAGAAATTACTTGGTTCAGTTGATGTTATATTTGAATGTTGAAATATTGATCATAGAGGGATCAAATTATTGTTGAAAGTATCAGACAATTTTATATGTCTGATTCGATATTCAATAACGTTTTCTGCACTTGATTGTTCTAGTTAAATCTCTGAAGTTCTCTCACTTTTAAAACGCTTTGAACTTTTTTGACGAGGCCCCTCTAATTTTCTTTTCATTTTTATTATCTGTAAATAATTTAAAGAACATTATTAATAAAAATAATTACATAATAATGGAGATTAAATATTAAAAGAATTCTAAATATATTTTAGTAAATGAATAGTAAAATTTTTTTATTATAAAATATATAATTTATCTATCAATATATATTTTTTTTATCTTAATACCTATATTTAATATATTAGTTTTCTTATAGATGACATACTTGTTTTTATATTATTATTTCATCGTTATTAATATATTAATAAACGTTTTTCTCTATTATTAATAAATTTTTATTATCACATTTAATTTTATTAATTGCCTTTCATATTAAAATATCAATTGTAAATTGTACAGATAAATTTTATTAAAAATTTATTCTCATAATTTTGTTCATTAATTTATATTTTAATATCACATTGATGTAAATATTTTAATATGTTCCCAAAATAAACCTATCAAATATTTGTTTAAATATTTAAGAACATAGCTAAATAGAAAGAACAAAATAACAACTGAGGATAACAACATTGTAGAAATTATTGATATAACAAATAATTAAAAAAATAGAAGATATATTTTTTTAATCTTTTATTGTAAAAAAATTATTATTAAAGATACAACGGTTATAATTTAGTATCGTATAAATTAATCTTTATAATTATGTTATTATCGTTTTCATTATGAGTAAAAATATAAATTTATTTATATTTTATAATTGAATTTTATTAAAGTCATCATTTATACTTAGTTTATATATATTTTTATTAAATTGTGAATATAATAAAATAAAATTTTAAGTTTTTAATTGCTTACTTATAGAGAATAAATTGTACATATATGTTTAAACTTAAATTTAATATTACAATCTTAGATAAAATTTTAATAAAAAAATAATACATTCTTTTATTACATTGTAAATTTATCTTTACTAAAATTATGCTTTTTAGCTGATATTTAAAAAAATCATTGTAAAA